TGATCCCCCCACAGAGAAATGAGGTCATCGGACTTAACCTAAACATCTGTACCCAATAGTCTGTTTCTCCAAAAAAAAAAAAAAAAAGATAAAACAATGGTTTTAGGAAACAATGATCCACCTATTTCATCGTATGTTTACTCTCTCCAGCATCAAAAGGCAAACAACATTTTTAATGTTTAATGTGAAGATAATATTGTTATTACTGTTGTAATATTGTTATTTTTGACATTGGCTTAACAGAAAACTACAATGATAAATATTTACTAACAGGTACTATCGTTTTCTAGAAAATGCTATCATTTTGATGTATTTGCTTCATATCCCTCAAAAAATAAAATGCTATTTATAATGGAGTAGCATTTTCTTCCCCATATTCCCAACAGCTATCATTGTTTTAATATGTATGCTTTCAGTTCTCCTGTGTATTTTTTGTTTCACATAGTGGTATGCAAACAACAGTTTTTAAATTTCACTTTAAAGTTTTAATGTCCTATAACTGAATTCTATGCTTTTGAGACATAGCCATGATCTTTTTAACTTAACTATATGCCTGGCATGAATATAAAGAATTTTATTTATCCAGTTTCTTAATAACATTTTTTCCAGTTACACACAATGCTTCAGTGAACTTAAGTTTATGCTTTCTTCATAGATTCTCTCTCTCTTCATTGGGTAATGTTCTTCTTTATTCCTCTTGTTGCTTGTTATTTTAAACTCTTTAAAAAATATTGATATTTCTATATCAGTTTTATATTGTTTATTATTTGCCTGCTGTATATTTCTCATTTTATTTTATTTTGTTTCCTTTTGGATTTGAGCATATCTCCCGTTTCTACCATACAGTTTAACTTTTTAAAATCCAAATTAATAGCTTTTTTACTTTAATTGGTTATTTTAATCTCTTTTAACAATCATCTATGACACATATTATGTTCTAGAAATTTTTCTAAGCACTTTACATGTATTAATTGTTTTCACACTCAAAAACACCCTGTGATATAGGTACTATTATTATTCCTGTTAATATAAGAGAAAATTGATGCCCAACAGCATCCAAGTATTTCTTTGTGTGTTTCTCTTCTATTTATCAGTGAAACTGATTTTTCTATATGCACCAGCCATATGAAGTTCCATTTTACTCTAAATAAATGTATATCGGTTTGAAGCAAAATATTAACTATAGTAAAGTTGCTATAGAAATGATTGAAATTTGGAAAACATTGGCTTAGTTAATTTGTTTTTGTTACTTAATAATGAAAATGTGTTTAAAGCTTTTAAATTAATGTTTGATACTATACATCTTCATTTTAGGGTGCAACATTTTATCTATTTAAAATAATGTTTTTACTTTGCTTAGAGTTTTTTTTTTTTTTTAAACCTTGGACTTGTCTGATAATAATAGTGACTTGCTTTCTTCTTGTTGATACTTTCCTGGTTTATTAGTGTTTGTTTTACTTTGCTTTCTGTTCACGTTAGGGATGTAATCAATGTCCTGGCATGAGGGACAGGGGAAAAGTGCAATGGTTTTCTCTTACCTCTGTTCTAAATGTCAACACCTGGTTGACAAAATTGACAGCAAGGTTCAAATTTTATCAACCAAACTGTTCTCATTATTCTAAATGAAGACTTTTTGAAAATTCTAATTTAGGATACCTCCCAGCCTGGGAGGTTGTCAGGGGGATTCTTAGAGGAAGCTTAACAGAAAGTTTGGAAGACACAAATGTAAAAGTCTTCCAGAAAGTACAGAAAATATTCAAAGAGAAGGAAAATAAAAGAGCTAAGTTGATAAAGTTAGAGAAACAGTCCAGTATGTTCAACATCTGAATAATGTGGGAGAAACATTAGGAAAAGTAGAAGAAACCTTTAAAAATTAAAATGTTGTAGACCTAGTAGATATGAACTAGCCAGAACAAGTCATGTCAACAAGAAATGTTAGAATACTGAGGGAAAAGAGAAGAGCCTAGAATCCTCCAGAGAGAAAAATAAATAAGTTCCATTAAAAGGATTAGGAATCCTTAGAACTTCCCAACAGCAAGATTGGAAGCCAGACAACAGTTGATTACTGTCTTCAAATTGTTGAAGGTAAATTATTTCCAACTTTTAATTCTATACCCAGCCAAATCAGTGTGCGGACAGACTAAAAATATTTTCACATGGTTAAGATCTCAGAAAATTTACTTCCTAGCCACCTTTGTTTTTTCTTTTCAGAAAACTCCTCAAGATAGTGTTTCACTGTAACTAGGAAATAAACTGTAAAAGAGGAACTTGTGGGATTCAGAAAATAGGATCTTTGACACAGGAGATAGACACGGAAAATTCCCTGGATGAGGATATGATAGCTGCGCACTTAGCATAGAAATCAACCATCTCAGACAGGAGCAGATCACAGCCTCCAGGAGATATTTCTTCAAAAACATAAAATTGCGGCTGGGCGCGGTGGCTCACGCCTGTAATCCTAGCACTCTGGGAGGGCGAGGCGGGTGGATTGTTTGAGCTCAGGAGTTCCAGACCAGCCTGAGCAAGAGTGAGACCCTGTCTCTACTAAAAATAGAAAGAAATTAATCGGACAACTAAAAATATATAGAAAAAATTAGCCGGGCATGGT